GGCTGAGAAGAGCAGGAGCTCGAGAGAGAGAGGTCTACCTTCAGACAGAGCGTAACTTCCACAGGCCTGTCACGTCCTTGATTTGATTTTGGAGCTGCGTGGGGTCTGGCCCATTTCTCCAGAGAACTTTGTGATTATCCAGACCACAAACAAAAATAAAAGATAAGCGGGGTTACACCCCTTATGCTCACAGGCGATAGGGATGGGACCTGCAGGGGTGTTTTAGGGAGGGACTGAGCTGGCACCTTGGCTCTTCACTCACTCCCGGGGTTCACATCACTGATGCGTGGGGAGCCCTAACGGCGGTGGAGCAGAGGAGCTCCTCTCCCCGAGAGCAGAGCGGGTCAGAGCGTGCAGCCTGCTCAGGCCCGAGGGCTGCTTTGGTGGCGAGGAGGTTGCTCAGTGGATTATGTGAGTCCTTCCAGCCACAGTGAGGCACATCTGCTTGGGGACAATTGCTCCCTGCTTGGGGACAACTGCTCCCTGCGTGGTTTATCTATGGCTGTGAGAGGTGGCTCTTAGCTTTGGAAAGCTGGAATTTCCTGCTCTGTATATTTTTAATCCTTTAGATGCTCCTGTGAGATTGGAAGTATTCCTAGAAGACAGGGGGATGAAGACCTTACCTTTCCAGCTGGAGCTTTTTGTGAAACAAACCGGCTGCTACTGTTTGTTTTCCTATTAAGGACCAGCTTATCGATAAAATCTGAGAGACTCGTTATTGTGTTTATCAGTTTTTCAGCAGAGATCAGCTCTCACGATGCGTTTGCACAACACCTGACACAGCTTGGCTTTGATCTCAGCTGCAGTACTGATGTGCAGATACCATTATTCAGCGTTTAATACATTTGTCATTTCCCTCCCAGTTTACAGAAAGAATATTCAAAAATTTACGCAGCGCTGCTTTTCTGAGAGCAAATTGCTTGGAGGAATTTCTAAAAATGAAGTGGAATAGTCCCTGTCAGTTAAAAGCCAGATTTTGATCTTGATGTATCTTCTCTATATTATAAGAGTGTATGCAGATAGAGTAACTTGTAAATATATTATTGCAAATAGCTGCCTTTCACAACTTTATTTTTGGCCTCTTTTGAAAAAGAGACTCAAACATCTGGGAGACTTTACCCGGTGTTCAAGGAGACTGTCAACTGTCTCTGAAATCAGTAGCCACGTTACAGCTCAGCTGCCAGGTCTAGGATTAATGCAGGAATTACTGGGTAAAATTTGCAGGCTAGGGTGATGAAGGCGATCATAATGGTCACTTCTGAGCTTTTAAATAATTGCTTAGAATCAATGAAATCACGCGAAATTTTTCACAGCAGAAACGAGCTTGGAAACTCGAGCTTGCTACATGTCTCCTGTGATGACTGGCAGCAGCGTCAGCTGCAGTGTTGCTCATTCCTGACCTATGCTATTTAGCACGAGTTGAGGACGGGGAGAAGGGAAGGATTATCATCACCGTTCCCTAATAGGGATTAAGTGATCTGTTCAAGGTCATGCAGGAAGTAAAATAAAGTAAGAGCATCCCACAGGTACAGATCAGTGGTTTAAATTCATCCTTTTTATCTGCTAATCTTTAAATATTCATAATAGCCTTTTTTAAAAAAAAATTTAAAAAAGGGGAGGAAAAAAAAAAAGTAAAAGAGACAGGGTGTAATTTTCTTTGCAGCTGCCATCCTGTGGTGCACTTGTTTCCATTGTGTAGAGTATTCATTTTAAGAAGGTCTGTATCTTAGGAGGGAGGGGCTGGAGCAAGATCCCTTCATACCACTTGAACATCTTTTTTTTTCCCGTGGAACTGGCTTTGAGTAAGGATCGTAAAATTATAGCTGAAAAATCCAGAAACTTCTTAAGGGGTCTTTATAATTACAAAGCAACAGCCAGCCCCCCCCCATTCTTTTTCATCCCTGGCCTGGGCTGTTGTTTGGTGAAAATCCAAATCCTGCTGACTTTATGCAACGCACTCAGTGAACAGTCACATGCAAATCACTTCTCAGGCTGGCCTGAAAAATGTTTCATCCTCCATCCTCCCCTCACAGCGCTGGCCGGCCCTCACAGGAGCCCCAGTCAGAGGCCGGAGAGGAAAGGCAGCTCCTGGAGGGAGGGGTTATGGCTTTGCCAGTCACCACCCACACCTCTCCCTTAGGACTTGCAGCATTTCTTCTCCAAGGACACAAGCCCACAGCGATGCACCTGCCAGGGTTCAGCCGGGGCAGGTATGATTGAGTCAATACACATTGGCTCATCGTGGCACGCCGCAGGGTTCGTGCCATCCCAGCCCAAAACGGGAGAGGAAAATTCTCCTCCCACACACTTGATCGGCACGCAAGTACAGGTCAATGATTTGGGTTGTGAATGGATTTTTTAAAAAATCTATGACAGAATTGAAATTTTTCATGTAAAAGCATAGGTTTTGGTAATCTTTTAGACCAGATGGAGAGAAACACAACTCTGGAGAGGGTTCTTTCTAAAAAAATCCAGCAAAACACTGGCATGTTTTAGTTGCAACATAGATTTCTGCTGAATTTGTTCATTCCTGCTTCTCCTACCCTCCACCATTTTAGTACAGATCCCCTCATCTCACCCCATCAGCCTCCCAAACCAGTTTAGCTCAGCTGCTTACATGAAATTAATGGGAATGAATCAGGCAAAATACTTAAAATATCCTGTCAACCCCACTTCTCTACCCAGCACCAGTGGATATCCCAGCGTGCCGATAAAACCTGGTAGCAGTCCCTGGTTGTGTACACGTGAGTGTATTTGTTTCTAGAGATCTTCCACTAGGAGCCTCGGGCAGGGGTCGCGGAGACTTTTCCAGCAGGACAGAGCCGGCGCTGGAGGGGAGCTGAGCTCCGTGTCCCCAGAGCCTGAGCTCAGCGGGAGATCCGTCCCGCAGGAGCATCCCGCGGAGGCGAAGGGCAGGGGTAGGTCCCCGCTGGTGGGATCCATCCCCCCAGCCGACCCAGTGAACGGGCAACCGAGTTCAAACGCAGTTGTTTTAAAATACTGCCGGAGTATCATCCTCTTGTCTGGAGGAGAATTTGGTTTTTTTTTCCTCAAGAATCCTGTGATCGAGGCACACCCTAGAAAAAGCTGTCACGTTTAATTCCTGTCAGTCTAGCTGTAGCAGCCAGTTCTTGCAGGGAAGTCCCTGTTAGAGACAGTAACAAACCTTCAGTCTGCCAGGAAAACCCACCCGTGCGGCCGTACCAAACCTGCCACAGCTTAGCTTTCGAATGATTTTATCCCAATAATTCATTTCACATCCCTAACTATAGTTGGAAAGCAGTGGAGAACAAGGCTTGAAATCAACCCTCCAAGCATGTAAGAAAATTTAATTAACAGCAGAAAGAAGGGCCATGGCAATCAGGAGAGTTAGAATAATACTTCCCATCTACATTTCTTGCTTTCCCAACATAAAATCTTTTTTAAATCACAACATTTTGTTGAAAAAAAAAAAAAAGTTTCATTTAATTTTAATGTTTCCACTGAAAAACAGATATGGTGAAAGTGTTTCAGTTAGAGGTAAATGAGTGGTGGGAGGGAATCCGGGAAACAGAAATACAGTTTCTCTTTTTTTTTTTTTTTTTGTGTTAGAACATTTAGAGAAAACTTATTTTGGTAGTTTAAAAAAAAAAAGAAATATTTTCTTATTTCCATTTTTCAAGAAATGTTGCCTTATCTTTTCCAGCCCTCTCTCATTGTTATCAGTGTCTGCTTCTATGACAAAACCTCACTCAGAGCAACAAATGCGGTTCCATGTACACTGTGCATGTAGGGCTCAATACTTTGTGTGAAGGTAGCTGATAAATTCTTAAGGTCCACAGACTCCCTGTAGTAATCATTCATCACACAGGACTCGATGAATAGGATAAGAAACCATGGATATTTTTTTTTTTTCCCAGAAGTGACAAAGGATGATTTTTACTTTAAAAAAAAAAGCTCACATTTAACTAAAAAAAAAAAAAAAAAAAAAAAAAATCCATTAGAATATTGTTG